TCGGAAGCCACGGGGTTTATTTTCATATTCACAGAGGCATCTACGAGGACAGCGGACGAGACAGCTGCTATGGTTGCAGGATTACAGGGGGAGTATCATTACTTGTAAATTAAAATAAATTTTCGATCTTTGTACGAACTGTCATCGAATCGAGAGGACAGGCTTTGTAATTTCTTACTTGTCAGAAACATAACATTTTTAGTAGGCATGATTTAGAAGGGTTACGGGCTTGATCTGTGTCAGTCAGTACATTATCCCATTATTTGTCTGGAGAGTATGAAGTGATCCACGGTCAGAACAGCCTGTAATCCGAACGAGATTTGAATCAGGTAACTGACGATTGCATGTTTACCAGTTATTGCCATCTTCGTACACAACTGAGAGCGGGAGAGGGCTGCCAGCGACGTCGAGAGCCATTGGGGGGGGGAGTGAATCCTGGCGGTTAGAATTGGATAGCAAAGAATCTTAGTCCTTAAGCACCTACTTCAAAAGATGTCGGAAGTGGGACAAAGCAGAAATGCAGTCGTCTACCCATTTCCAAATATATAGTGTTCTTCTCATGGTTCTCCGTTCTTCCGCCCTGCCTGTATATATTCCCTCATCCATCCTTTCGTCTTTAGTATTAACTCTTTATTTGGCGGCGGTTGATAGCTCGGAGGAAGTTGAGATGGAAGAGGGCTTTTTTGTTTATCTGGGTCCACGATTTGCTTGTTTGGCACTTCTGTGAATCGTTCTATTTTTGAATGTAAACAGACCAATAAGAGAATAGTTTTTCTTCCGACCCGGCAGCTTGTCTTGCGGACTTTTGTTTGTGTTTACACACCTTTAAAGCTGTGTGTGTGTGACACAAATGTGAACAACTGACTTCTGTTTTCGCTGGTCCGCCGAGACTAGAGCAGCTGGCGCAATATCGAGTGTCTCACACACACTGACATCAAGGCAATTAGCCGGTTTCCACAGCTTTTCTAACATCCTGTTTGTCTAGCCTCTTCCCCCACTAGCTTACAGCATTTCTGTAATCATAAGGACGCTTGTGAAACAATAACAGAGTTCATTATTCTTATTCCTAACATCAGTCGTACCGCGAAACCTCTTAACTTGTGTCTTGTTGAAGTGTGATTCAATGTTGGCGTTACATAGAGTTACTAAAATGTGGACATCTAATTGCATGTGTGTAAAATGACGCAATGTTCCGTGCTAGAGAAGATAGTCAAAGGAAGTTGTGTGAAGAACTCGTAAGAATCATTCGCTTTGTCTCTATCTGCATGTAGAGTATATTCTAAATTATACAGGCTGATTGAAGAGTCACTCATCCCATTGCTGACATGTTCTATTTCTCAAAGCAGTTACATTGAAATCAGAAAACAATTGAGTGTTGGAGACGTTGCCAGTCTCTCTTCGACAGTGAACACTCGTTGCACTTGTGAAAAAGACAGTCTTGCGCTTCGACTGTTTGAAGACAGCTGATGCACTGGCGAACGCAGGTCGCAACAACGGGGCCTGCATGGGCTCGTAGTCACAGCGATATTGTGCGTTTGTTAATACAGTCTAATTTTATTGTTTCTCAAACATAAAAGTATTTTAACTTGGACTTCGTATCTTTTCGATTATCCTGCACACGTATAATTAGACAAATCATTGATTCAATTCCATAAGAAGTGGCGTTACATATTCATTAAAGAACTGCAAATACGAAAGTATCAATGCCATTCTCACGTCAAAAGCCCTCATATGTACCAAGATGGCGGAATTAGAAGTTACAGTGATGATAATGGACTCCCTTGGTGTGATGTTTATACCAAGTTTAATATAAATACGTCACATTGGTTAATAGATTATTAAGGAGGCCATAAATAGTTACGTATATTGGTATTTACCGTGATTCTGGACGGGTAACTTTGATAACTTGCTGGTTACGTAATAATTGATTTCTCTAAAAGGCCTGGATCCGCGTTGTACGTAGCATCTCTTCTTTAAGGATGCGACGTGTGGAAATGTTATCGTCCTCGGCGGATTGGCAGGAAGTGTGGATGACAGGTAACGCAATTAGTGTGAATGCTCGGGTCAGGAAGAGACTGGCTCCATGCTGCGGAACCCTCGTTGATGCGAAGTTTAAGGGACATGATAGAAGCTCGTAGGTTATTTAATCTCAACAGTTGAAACAACGTTATCAAATAACCTTAAAATCAACTTGTATGTAGGTCTGTCTTGGATACTGTCAAATTGCATGCTTCAGCAAGCAATTTGTGTGTAACCGAACTCAGTTTTAATTCCGGAATGGTCCGCATCACAGCGCGGACGGGATAACTAAAAACATGTATGATTTGTAAGTGGAAACAGGTTTCTTGAAAGGTCAAGGTTCTCAAAATGAAAGCAGGACATAGCTCAATCTTTCACTCAGTATTTTGTACGTTGTTATCTGGTCAGCTGCAGAGCCAGTCTGTACACAGAACGCAAGCCTCTTCGAACACTCAACTTGATTGTTACTTTCTACATTGTCTAACATTTTGGGTATTTGTTAACAAATGATCAAGATGGTGGAATGTTTCCGTGTTAACAGTCGATTTACGCCTTCGTCAGAACTCTCTGGACTTGCACATTTTAATATTTTTTCTGACAGTTTGTAGTATTGCTTTAGATTTGGAGAATAACATTGTATTCCTACATTGCCTAAGGAGTAGTTAAGGATATTACGTAAGGACGAAGTTTGTGGTTTATACGAGCCATCTACCTAGTATAGTTCGAGTAGTGAAATCTAGGAAACTGTTGGACAAATAAATAAAAACCACATTTTGGTTGGGAAGCCTCTTGGCAAGCTGTCAATTGGAAGACCAATAAGGAAATTTTGGACAGGATTATTAAAAGGTATTCAGGTTGTTGGTCGTTGTTCACGGTCTAGGGACAGCGAAGAACATCTTGTGTCCTTGTGTCAGCATGTTTGCTGTTTTCCTAGGAGGTAGGCAACCCGCATGACCAAGTTCATCTTAGCGCAATTACTGAACCACATTGTTGCGCAGAAATGGCTTCAGATGGATAGTGCCATAATGACATGCACAGTGTGGCGTGAAGACCGCCTTTGAAATGTCGGTGTACTCCAAAGAGTCTTGTTAGGATGGCGATTGGATTGAATTTGCTCAGAATCGTGTCCAGTGATGGGCTTTAGAATTAGAGGCGTTGTATCTTTGGTTTCTGTGACCCAATAGTTGAGCTAGTTATTAGGTTGTGCTGGAATGTGAAGTTTACCATGCAAGAAAGAGATGGCTGCTGGATCCACCGATAAATAGCTGGATGATTGGGACAAGAGCTAAGTACACAATCAGTGTGACCGTCTACAGGTCACTGATCCGGTTCACATGTTTGGGACCTATGGAGTAAGATTAAAGATCACTTTGCTTCGTAAGATTTTACTGTTTTAACCTAAAGTCAAAGTGATAAGAGAAGAAAAGATTTATTATCGACCATATTTTTTGAAACAGGCGTGATGCAGACAGTAACAAAAAATACACAATTAATACGATCTTTGTAAGTGTGTAAATAGATAGTATCTGTCTGTCCGTGTATTTTAACTCCGGATCTTAGGGACGGATTACAATGAAATTTGATATTGTAGTTTTTTTAAAAATATGTGGCAAATTTAATATTGGTTCGTATTATTGGAATATAACAACTGTTTTATGCTAATATTAAATCTTAAATGAGCATTGCGATACAATTAAATGTGGATAATTTCTTCGCCAGTTGAAATACTGTAAACTATAAATAAAGAATCTGTTCCTTCGAGTAGTAAAGTGACCAAAAACGTATCACTTTTCTGCTGTTGGTTGAACTGACCCAACTTCGAACTGTTGAATTCTCTGATATCCTCTGCGTCGCAAGCCAGTGAGCAAGGAATGCGCTCTGGCGGATGCAAGACTGGTTGTGACAAACGGTGATGCAGGATGTAGTAATGGATGCTGCTGGGCAGCATGAGGTAAAGGCACGCGTCCGTCCTCCAGGGCGAGGGCGATGTGGCCCAGAAAGCAAATTTGGAACCACTACATCCACATCGATGCAGTCTCAATGTTATCGATACTTTATGGTAGAAAAGGAAACTTGGATTCAAGGAAGCTTGCATTTTCGTCTGCATTTGTTGTCTTGAAACGTGTAATTGAATTATTGCAGAGTTGATGGTAATATTTCATGGGGGGAAATACCATAAAGTTTCAGATCGACGAGGCAGTTGGGTTGGATTACACTAAGGACGAAATTAAGCCAAAGAAACCTTTAACCCGAAAAGAAATAACACTTATAACACATTGACATAGGAAATGGAAGAATAGTATATTAAAAAATGTAATAGTTCTTAATTAATGTTGATAAATAGGGTATCGGGGCGTGTGCTGGATTCGTCTAGCTCAGAAGCATAGTGTTACCTGCACATACTACCCGCTTTAACGTAAAGCAACTCATGTATTTTGCCCACGCAATGTATTTATGGGTTTATTACGGTTATCAGAATAAACAAATTATTTCCTTAAATTACATTAATCAGTTGATTTTTGTAAAGGACAGAGAGTTGTGTTTTCTTCAGGTAGGAAATTCACTTTCAACAATTATTTATACGAGTTTCGCGCTTCAAAGGACCGAACTCATGAAACTCCCAGTTACAAACAGAAAGGGCCTTGTTCGGTAACCTGGTATAACGGATTACACAGACGGAAACCGGCACTGACCAGCTACTTGCTTAACGAATGTCTGTTGTCGAGCTTAAAGAAAGACGTATTTATCTTAACGACGTGATACTTAACCCTTCAAGCTCTTCAACTCCCAGTGGTAACTATACGCACCACTTGCTTTAGCAGTTAATAACTAATTTTTTCCCCACAGAGTGTATTTATGGGTTTTATACGATTCCCAGAAGAAACAACGATAATTTTCTTTGTAAGATTGTATTAGTGTTGCTGTCCACTCGTAACAGTACACGCTCGGCTAACCAGAGACTGTACGTGATTGCTTTGCAGGATGTTAAAGCACGTGCAGCTCAGTCCATTTCGGACCAGAGCGGACACACTGAGCCTCAGCTCCACGGCCAGCTACTCCAGCCTGAGTCCGGAACCATTGTCAAGTCGCTCCTCCAGCTACTCATCCCTCAGCGAGTCCTCGCCCGCGGTGAGTACAGCTTCATCGTGCTGGGTTTTCTTTCTTTCTCTCGGCACCGACCTCGAAGATGACTGTTCTGCGATGTAGCACCGTGTAGTCTGGTAGATATCTACGACTTTCCAGAGGAGCTTACTGCCTCCGTCATCTGTGTGTTACATCCCAGAAGACAGTCGGTCGTTTTTATAATCGTCGCCGTGAAATCTTTTCTTTGGTGTTCGATAACACAAAAAATTCTGCTATTACCTTCTGGCATTCGTAAGTTCTTGCCAATGTTTTTAGTATGTCAACTTGATGGTTTGTCGGAGATTATCATCAATCACAAATTAAATAATTATTATACTTGGTGATATGAAGTTCATCGTGGTAGTTCAGTTGTCGTAATCCTTATTTATGATGTAATTTGAGTAATTGTAGACTATTCCGAGAACACGGTTACGTTGCTGGTACATTACATCACTAGTTACGTCAAGATGCATGAGATTTAAAAGCTGGCTCCATGTGTAAGTCTTAGTGAATGGATTTATCGTTTTCTCCCTTGTCTTTAAAATTAATTTATACAAGATTTTAAACGTGGTCCATTAACTCGTGAAGATTTACTGATGTGAGTTCAACATTTATCATCGAAATGGAGTGTCATCCACTGTGTTACAAATTTAACTGCTGACACGTTTGACTAATGGTTTCACCGTCTCCTCCTCCTGAGAGGTGTTGGAATCTGGTAGAGGCCTGTTTTGAACGTTCAGTGGCACTGTTTGGGAAACTGAAGACATTTCGTTAGGTGCTGAGGAAGCTATTTGAACCGAGGAGAGATGACGTACTATGGAACCAGAGAATTTATATTTAGTGTCTTGGTCCTGAAAATATAGGCAACATGTTACGCAGAAATGTTTGTACCCACCAAAACAAAAGTCCACACGGCGCCACAACCCAGAATACATCCATCGACATCAAATTTCAGGCTTTACCCTCAACTTCAGTTTCGCAACACGACGGGCGAAGCGATTTGTCGTCACAGCATGTATTTTATTATAGAATTAAACTGTGAAACGTTATTTTGAATAGATTTGCTCTAATTAACGCAACAGTTATTTAATTTCTAATAATAATCTGTCGGTTTATCGGTAAAGATACACAGACGTTCAACATTTTCGGATCTCAGACTTCAAAATTTATTGTAAAATATTATGTACATACGTTGATGTAGCTTACAGGAAACTAAGAAGAAATCCATTCTTTATGCTAAGTGAAGACCGACGTGAAATATGTACTCGTATTTGCACTGATTCTTGCTGTGGGAACGTTGTATTTCGTAAGCATCGACTTTACGTAACTTGTTCTAGGTCCGGTTTGCACAGTAACCGAAGGTTTCACGGGCAGTTGATGTGATGGGAAGAGGGCCTGAATTCCCATGGTGTCACTTGCACATTCTTTCTTTGCTCCAGTAATATGAATCCACGCTGCTGCCGGTTCTTTTTTACGAGGGACACCGCATCCCTCTCAGTATTTTGAAGATTCTCATCAGGTTGAATAGGAATTTCTCCCTCGTTCAGCCTAACTTAAGTTTTTCCCACTCTCCCCTTCCGACTATTTCTTTACAAGTAAGCTTACAACAGCTTTTACAAGGAAAATTTCACATGGCCTGAATATGAGTTTATGAACTCCGTAGTTTTAAATCTACACCTTCGCTGAACTGCGCTGAAGATTTTGCGTTATAGTGAAGGGTTTTGTTGTGACAGTGATGAGCAGTTGTTTTTCGTTGTAATTATGAATAGATTGGTGTAACCATGTAGATTTATATTCGGGAGATGCTCTGTTCGAATCTCGGTCAGGTTATCGACTTTTCTGACTTCGTGTTTCTAATGGCTTACTCAACTCTTCAGGCTATGGACTACCTCGAAATAGGCCACGACTGCATATAAGACCTTTATATATATTTATTTAAGGTTTATTTATCATCATATCTCATTCGATGCTATAGGCCAAAAACTTAGCAGTTAAACCAGCTCTGTTAAATGTAGTAAGAATAAATTTGTATTACAAATGACAGAACACTGAAACTGTGATTAAATTGCTGTGTTTTATTGTGTAAACATAGTTTGTATCTGTGAGTGATTAAATCTGGTTCCATTGCTCCTTGTGGACATGCTATAGACGAATGTTTCTTTTTTTTCTTCTTGAATGAAGGTCAGAAGATGTTTCATAACAGTAATCCAGTGTAGGGACACTCCAATACCGCAGTAGAGATAGGGTTGTTTCTTGAACATATTTATCGTCACTTTTTCGTGGTATCTGTCGGTTACGATTAGATTTACCAAAATTGAGAGACCTCAGATCAGGGGAGAATAAAATGTCTTCCGTTATAACCTTAAATAAAAGTACCATCCCTAACAAGTGTTTAGTTCATATTATAGTTTTATATCGCTGTGTTTCATATAGCGATAAAAGCACGGACAGAGTTTGATAGTGTTCAAAGTACAATTATCTTTACCACGCCAGTTGTCCCCAATAATTAGGGCTAAGAAGATTCAAAATGGTCCATTCTAGCTGTTTAAACATTTAAGTACAGTGGTAACAATATGAACTACCTCATTTGATGTTCAATAACTCTGCAATTTGCCCACAGTTTCATATGATCTTCAGAATTCGGCCTTCGAGTATAAAACTTACCACCCCTGCTCTAAGCTTTCTGTACACAAGGAATCGTTCCTAGGGTAATCCATTAATAAGAAAGTAAAAAAGAAAGGGTGTTCCATAAATCGAGCGTCGGTCGGTCGTTGTTCTCTCTCCAGGCATTTGGTTTCATTTTCCTGGTTTTTGTTTCAATGCGGTGTGATGGCGTAATTGTGGGAACATACGCGGAGTTCCCACACGCTGCTTGCCTTGCGCTTACAGACGACCTTGTAGTTGCCTGGGGCGCTCTTCCTTCCCTAACAAGGACTGCCGGAGAAAAGCCACGGCCTCTCCTCTTCCTTAAGATGTAGGACAACGCGGTACCCTAACCACAGGTGTTTATTTTGAGATTCAGGGCTTGTTTACCCGCCATTTCACAAACGATTAATATTTTAGAAATCCAGTTTTAAATGTTGTACCAACATGAAGATATGGCAGTCGTGAATTCGAATCCTGTCCAGGGCATAAAATCTGTGTTCGTCGTAGCTACTACACTTTTCAGTCTCTTAACTTTAGGACGAAGGTGTGGCAATCAAACAAATACAGGGAAAGAAGGAAAAGCAAACACTATGAAGGAACGATGTTTCATGACAAGGAAAAAACCAAGAATTTAAGGAAGGGAGTACATGAACGAAGAATGAAATAGGCAGAATGCGACATGATAAGAACTGGTGAGAGAGATAGAAAGGATGTGTGAAGTAAGTGGCAGAATCGTAAGAGATAGAATATGAAAAATAATAAAAGAACAAGAAAGTAAATACATGGAAAATAAAATAAAAAGATGAAAAAATATAAGTCAAAATTGTAAGGTATAGAGTGAGTGACGAAGAAAGGTAGAAAGCGAATTAATAAAACCTTCAAAAGAGAAAGAGGATGAGATGTGAAGTCAAAAGAGGGAGAAAGGTGGAAGGAAACGTAGGAGAGTGATGATGTACTGCAGAGTGATCTGACAAGTGCGAGTGCTGACTCGGAAAGAATTTTCGGGACTGTGTCATTGCCCCAAAAATGTTAATTTTCGTAATATCTCCAATTCATTTTCACAGAAATGTGTATAAATATGCCTGAAACGCCCACGAAACCTTCTGTGGGATCTTGTCTATAAATGTACCACAGTAATGAGAAATGCCGCTCAGGGCACCGATAACCCGTCATGTACATAAACGGCAGATTGTAGGTGGCGGTAGCTCCGGCTGTCAATTCATTGCATTAATTCATCCGTCGTTTGCTACGTCACTTCTCTGTTTCAAACAATACGACCACCTTTTTCGCAAGGACGTTTTTTTCTCCTTCCCTGCTGTGTTGAAGAGAATTTTTTTGGTGGACGTCAGCATGTAAATTACGCGAAGGTGAATTCAATATGCAGTACGCAGCAGCTGACTGGCTGTCTTTTTATCTTCCGTAATTTCATTGTCAGATCTTTTACAGTTCACCGACGTCCTTGGGAACGTCAGAATATAATTGAGTTTATTCGCAACAGTCATTTACGACGATGATTTTTATACGGATCGTGACCGTAATTATTTTATATAAGAAACATCACACTGAGGCACAGTGTGGGATGTCTTATTCCACTTCCTTATTGAGATATTTTATTATGTCCTGCGTTAAGACTTTTCTAGGACAGACTAGACTAGGAAATTGCTATGTCAATTTATAATTCCATGTATTGTGCATTGAATCGTTCCTCTGGAGACCCAGAGGCACAGTATTCCAAAATGCTCAACGTCTGTGATCTTCATTTCATGTTTACAGCCCAAAATCATGTTTCTGTACACGTCTTATGTCATACATGCGTGCTACATGTCCCCCATATAAACACCTCTTTTATTGGAGAGTAAGCCTACAAAATATGAATTTCCTCTAGCCTGCTTTTACTTCTCAGTACATAATAGAACAAATTTAAGTTAATCAGTGAATCTAATTAATTCATTTTATTAATAAGGTCAATACCTTGCATCAGATTCTGACAGAAGTAAATTTTTCCTTCAGTTTCCGAAAAGCATGGGGTGGTACTAATCCCGGACCTTCCTAATGCTGGTCAGGGTTGCTACACAGAATTTACAGTAAGTAGGTGTATAATCTTCCACATAATTCCGGAATAATCACAGACAAGTAGTATTCACATCTCGTAGGGAACATTCCATTCTGCCTTCGACACAAAGCAGGTTTTAATTACCTACTTTTACTTATTAGTAAGTTATTCGAAATTCGTATGAGATTTGAAATTCTTTCTCTTAAAACCAGTAATTAGCTTGAAGATCGCTTTGACGGTTTCACCATTTACAGCGAAGCGTAGAGGCGTAGTCTCACGTGACGCCCATACGCTTAAGCAGGATAAG